CGTGAGACAGCACGGAGCTTCTGAAAAGCAGGTATTCAACAGCATGTGGAATCTAATAAAGTTTAAAATGATACATGTGCTAGGAAAAGGCTAGAGCAATAAACACTGAAATGGCAACAGCGAGTGGTAAAATCCGGGGCGGTTTTGTTTCTTCCTCACTGGGCTTCCAGCCATTCTGTCCAGCACGTGTTTTGCAATCAGATAAAATCCCTACGAGTGGCTGTAAAACCTCTTGACAAAAAAATTAACAATACCTCTGAGCTGTCCTAAGGATGTGGCTGAGGTCGTCGTGAAGGTCGTGCGGTGAGCTGGAGTCCGGGACAAGCATGCGACACAGCAAGTCCAGGTCATCTTCTGACATGGGCAAGCCGAACTTTTCCACCGAGAAAAGCACGACCAGGCCCATTCTCAGTTTGCTCCTCACCGGGCGGCCGTCAGGCAGAGAGTCCCCCGACCCGTCCAGAAATGGGTCCATTTGCTTTTTCAAATACTCCCACAAGTCCTTCTTCACCTGATCCCAGGAGAAAAGGAAGAGGCGTGAACCACGGTGTTGACTCGGTCGCAGGTGGCCAGAGCTGCCCGTCACTGCCGTGAGCTCCACAGCAGCGGCCAGGGGACCGAGGCCCCAAGGGGCAGGGAGGGCTCCACGGACGGCTCACACCCTCCGCCCCCACCGCCGGGGAGCCGCACCGCTGGGAGCCGCAGGAGTGCAGAGAGGCGCGGTCCAGAGTCCCCGGCCTGCAGGGGACTCTCAGGTGGGGACCTCGATGCTCACAGGGGTTTACTTGTCACCTCAGAAGCAGCTCCAGGGCTGCCTCAAGACCACCCGGACCACAGCCCCGCTGGGAGAAGCTGTTCCACCCTCTGTCCACTCTGCCCCGAGACCATGGAGGACTCGGGGCCAAGGCGGGGGCTCAGATGTGCAGCCAGGGGGGAGGGGGACACAGGGAGGGCAGGGGGGGTCAGGAGGTGGCACTAGGAGGGAAGGACGGAGAAGGCGACCTGCCCCCACCTGCACCCTGACCCATGGGGTCACAGGGTCATCCAGACACTAGTAGGTCAGGTGACGCAGCTGGTGACACAGAGGAAGCCTGGTACCTCTTTCTCTCCATAGCGCAAATCGCTCCAGGGCTGTGCACGTCCTTCGTAGATCATGGGCGCTCGGACGACAGAGTAAAACTGCTGGAACTGGGTGAAGAAGCTGTTTAAGTTGATGGCATCCCAGGTCTGGAGGACACTGAAGATGCTGTCCAGCATCACGGTGGCGGCCCGCTGCTTCCCTTTCACCAGCGACCTCCTCCTCTCTTCTGTTACGTGGTCTAGGACTCCCTGGAACATCTCAAGAGGCCTCATACAAATTATGTCATCGTACTGATGCCACTCTAAGAGGGACAGAAAAACAGTATTGTACCCAAGATGGTGAACACCCTTGAGACCCAGACACTGCCCTAGAGGGCTGATGGTGACGGGCAGAACTGGGAGCGAGTGGGCCAGAGGAGGGGAAGGAAGGAGGAAAACCAAAGACCCGGCAAACTGACGCCGTCCACACGCCGGGCCAGGGTCGGCCCCTACCCGGTGCTGACAGACAGCCCAGACTCCCCACCGTGATGGGAGAGAAACCCGAGCTCACAGGATTGAGTGGGCCTGAAAATACGACGACAGATCTAACTCCGTGGCTCAGCAAGCCTGGTAACTGAGTTCCTTAAACACGATCACCGGGAGGTCCCGCACGCTGTACCGCAACTGCGTCCCACACTAGCAATGGGGCACCACCCTGCTAGGTTCCCCGGTTGGTGCCAGTGCTGTCAGCCCTTGGCAGGGAACCCGGCACAGGGGGGGCCTGAATTCACGGCTGCGCTTAGGACCAGGTGCACAGGGCATGCGTGTGGTCCTGCGGTACCCGAAGAGGTCAAATGTAAAATAATTAGACAGCAAAAGAGGACGGAGAGATGGCCAGAGGCCACATGAACACACACAGGTGAAAGTCAGTCAGCGCGCCCAGCGTCTGCACGGCCTCCCAAGGTCTCCTGGCCGGCTGCACCCCAGGGCGGGTTCCCCGGCAGGCCCGCCCGCCCCGCCCTGCCAGACTCGTGACTGTGTAGCCGTGGCTCAGTCCTCACCTCCTGGCAAGCTTCCCCTGACCTCCAGGCCAAATCCCCACCACGCGTCCCTTTCACTGGGGCATCCAGGTGGCGTTTATCATATTAGGAATTCCGTGTTTATTTACGGGGTTATCAGACGAATGCCTATTTTCTCAAAGCTTAACTTCTCAGAGTGCACTGTCTAGCGATCAAAAATCACACTTGCAAAAATAGAGAAAGGTGTACTGTGAAGAGTTACTGGGACTCTGTCTTTGTCCAACATAGAATAATAGGGACTAGATTTACACTCTTCTGTGTCTGCCCTAAACAACCGAACAAAATAAACAAGACATCTGTTTACAAGACACTGCACACCAGGCAACGAAGGTCAATGAAGGTCAAGGCGGGCGGGAACAGGCGAGGGAGCCCTGAGTGTCCCCAGGCCTCTGTGCGGGGCAGGGCTGGGAGTCAGGGTCGAGCAAGACAAGCAGAGTGTGCAGGCGGAGCACCGGGAGGGAGGACAGGAGTGAGTTGTGGGGACCGCAGAGGGCGCTGCTCCAGTGCTCCCCGCCAGGAGGAGAAGCCCCCAAGTGGGCACCAGCAGGTGGACGGGTGAGCAAAAGGTACGCAGGGCGACAGGCGGCAGGAGCCTGGGATGGGGCTTTGGAATGCCTGTGACCTGCTCACGTCCCTGCTGCCCCGTGCCCGCACCCAGCCCTTCCGCCAGCTGCATTTTCTCCCCTCTCTCATAATCAAAAATCCTTCCCCGTTTCCTCCTGCAAGTGAGCAGTGAGTCACACTGTGCTAAAGGGAGAGCCAACGTGTCTCTGACTGACCAGAGACACGACCCAACCGTCATGGAACGCCGAGGGGCGGAGAGGACCTGCACGGACCGGGCGAGTCCGCGCTCTGCAGAGCGAGGCCGTCCCGCAGCCCTGGCACCCACGGAGCGGAGCCCGCCGCACTGACCTCCTGCGCCCAGGAGTGAAGATTTTATGCACAGGCAGCGGTTGACTTGCTCGCCCTGCCTCTGTGGGACCTTGTAGATGAACTCGTACTCCCCAGAGCCCTTGTCGTGCCCAACGACGTACTTGTAAGGGATGGGTGTGTCCAGGTGCCGCCTGGAAATGACGGCGCTGCCCTCGACCAGCCAGCCCTCCTCGGGCAGGTGCCTGTGAAGAATGGGGTTCAGCCAGTTACCCCAAAATCCTACGCCGGAAATCGCAGTCCTCAAACACAGCATGCAGTGCAGACCCAAAGGTGCAAACCGATGCTGACCACCAGGAGGCTTCTAGAACAAGACACGGTTTAAAAAGGGCCACGACGAAACGTGTCACCGAAAGGCACGGCCAGGGAGATTTCGTCTTGCCCGCGGGGCGCTCACCTGGTGCAGTGCAGCTCGCAGACGCGCCTGCTCCATTCCGGCTGCCCAAGCTCCCCTCCCCCGCGGACAAACAACGTATGGCGGTCGGGGTTGAAATCAAAGTCTTTGGAGAGGATGGCGTGGAAGTACACCGTGACGCCTTCTCCGGGGCTCGGCGGGCTGCGGGAAGCCAAGGAGGAATCTGGTCGTAGCAGAATCCGCCCACCCATCCGAGTGCACACGCACCCTAGAATCCAGTGCACATCCCACCCTGCCCACCGCGTGGGTCCTCTCTCCTGTCCCTCTGAAACGGAGGAAGAGGAAGGCGGCACACAGTGGCCGACCCTGCCCCCCTCTGGAGTGCTGGGGGCAGCGCGGGAGGCACCAGCCAGGGTCTGGGTGGTGACAGCCCCCCAGCTCCCTAAGGCTCTAGAACTCCAGGGACTGTGGGCAGACAGCAGTTGGGACAGGTGCCCCTCCCCGCCCACCTCCTGCGCAGTCCCCTTTCCCACGGAGCTAAGCACCGGACCAGAGGGCACTGGCTCCTCAGGCTGCCACCTCCCTCGCCAGGGGCCACACCCAACCTGGCCGTGACTTCCTGCGGGGCGGCGCTCTGGTGGCTGTGCTCCTTCTCGCTCTTCGCAGCCGCGGCACAGCCTCTGCTGTTCCCTTCTGGCTCCTTCGGGCCTCCCCCCTGCCCGCGCTCCTTCTCAGCAGCCGTGGCACAGCCTCTGCTGTTCCCTTCTGGCTCCTTCGGGCCTCCCCCCTGCCCGCGCTCCTTCTCAGCAGCGTTCTCCCCAGCAACGGCCGCCTCGTCCTTGGTCTCGGCCTCCTGGAACGAGTACGCAGCCCCGACCGTCACGGCCAGCTTCCACGGTGGCCCCGACAGCAGACGCTTCTCACAGCAGCCAGAGTGGCCACGTCCCTTCCCTGCTCGGGACCTTCCGTGCCTTTGGCCCACTGACCACGGCCACCAAGAGCGCCTGGCCCCAACCTCATCCAAGGCCCGACCCTCTGGCATGGAAGCAGTCCCCACCCCTCTTCTCCTTGAGGCAGCAGGAGGGGTTGGATCTCAGGGACAGTCGCCAGCAGCCCTCCCCAGGGTACCTGGATCAGGCCTGCCTTCTAGGAGAGGAGCCGTCTGCAGTCGCTTGGCCCGGGGACGGATGGGCCCAGAGGGGGCATGCTGGGCTGTGGGGCCTGGCTGTACCCACCCCACCCACCACGCAGGGGACTGTCCCAGACAGCCAGGCCGGCAGCCCCCCGTGAGGACCCCAGGCCAAGCCACCCTCCACCGCACACCTAGGGCAGCACCCACCAGCCCCAACCCCCTTCGTACACACAGAACTCCACCGTCTGATGGATAAAACCACGCCTCCCAGGGCGGTCGGCAGGCGCTCTCCTCCAGTGTCGGGTAGAGCACGTCCCCACGCTGGCTGCCCAAGAGTCTCTGCGTTTCTGAACTGCTGTCTTCCACCTCCGCCCATCGCAATGTGAGCATGTGGTCGGCGCTATTTCTCGGCAGGCGTCGGTAGAGCCCTGCGGTCACGGCCTTCCACATCTGTGCGAACCTTTCCTGGCCTCGGATCATCCAGTTCTGAGCTTGCCAGTTTCTGGGCTTGCCAGTCTACATGGGCACAGTAATACGAATAAGGTTCTTTTGGTGAGGCTTAGACATTTTCCGTAATTTTATGAATGTTTATGTATATTTTCTGGAACTCTACGGCGGCTGTTTTACACTGAAATCTATAACCAATCTGGTACCGGTCGGCACTCCACACCTGCAGATCCGACCAACTACAGATCAAACATATTTGGGAAAAAATAATATAAATTTCGAAAACGCAGTGTAACAGCTACCTCCACAGCACTTACGCCGAATCAGGCACGATAAGCGATCAGAGACGTGTCAAGTCCGAGGGAGGAGAGCGCAGGTCATGCACACACCCTGACCCTTTTGCTGCGCGTTTCACGCCAGGGACTGCGGCGCCCTCCGATTGTGGTGCCCCAGGGGTCCTGCAACCAGCGCGCACGGACACCCAGGACCCCTGTGCGTGCTGGCGTGGGCGAGTTGGGAATACTCTCATTTCCCCCCTGCTGAGTCGTGGTTCAGACAGCCACGCTTAGACAGCCACGCTTAATGCCTCAGCCGCCACATCTGCTTTACCACGCCCCTGTCCCCAGGCACTGCAGCGTCACCCGAGCTCCCAGTTAGGGGTAAGAAAGGGTTTACCCAAACTTTACCCCAGGTGGTCCAGGCTCGGGGCTGGCCATCCCCGCTCTGGAAGGGATGACTCTCCAAGGCAACGACTCAAGCGCACACGCGCACCCCACGGACAGCACTGCCCGCGGCATCACGGCTACCCCAGCCCCGCCATGGGGCACCACCCACAAGGAGCAACAGATGGAATGCCAGCCCCCACCCGGAAGGAAAGGAAACTTCCACTGTCCAGTGCCCAGCAGGACACCGGAGAGCCAGACACAGCCAGCTGGGTCAGCACAGGGCTGAGCGTGGGCACCGCAGCCCTTCTCATCACGCTCCCTGAACATGTCTAGGATGCACCCTGGAAGGCCTCCCTATTGCTCCCACCAGTTCCCGCCCTGGGGACGCATCCTCTAGGGGTCTGACTCGTCTACGGGGCTGTTGGAGGCCGGAGGGAGACAGAAGAGGGCTCAGCCGCCCCCCCAGGAAGAGCATCCCACCAGCCAGCTCGTGTCCCGAGCACCCAGAGAGAGCTGTGGGGCACCTCTGGGCTTGCACCCTGGACGGGAACACAACCAGAGAATGGGGGGACACACGTGTGACTGAAGCTCAGCCCCGCCCCCAGCCACGGCTTCCGGGAAACGCACAGTGTCGGGGCCTGTGCAGGGACAGGGAAGGCGGGGACTCCAGAGGCTTGGAACCCAGAGACTCTGGCGACGGACTCATCAGGCCCAGAAGGGGCCGCTCTGCTCTGGCCAGAGGGCGGGGTTCAGCAGTGGCATTGCGGGGGCCAGCTGTGCAGCAAGGCTGCCCTGGAGAGGACGCCGTGGGGACACAGGGGCCAGCAAGGGAGACGCAGCACCCACCTTGCTCAGCCACGGATGAAACTGCACCAGGAGGCAGCTCCGTGCAGAGCGAGAACAGGGAACGGGGAGGCGGGGTGGCACACTCACCTGCTGGACAGTCCAAGGGGCTTCGGAACAGGGCTCATCTGGGCTTTCTGGACAATCACCTGAGCCTGGGGACAGACAAGAGCTCCCTTCCTCCTTCGCCTCCTCCCCACACTCCAAGCCGCCCTCCGGGGCCGCTGCAGCATCACTGCGCCCGGGATCTGCAAGCAGACAAAGGAAGGGTCAGGCCTCGGCCAGGGAGCAGCACAGGGAACGGCCCTCCCCACGCGCGTGTGAGGGGCGAGCCCGGTCCTCCCTCCGAGGTCCTTCCTGCGCCCCCTGACCTGAGCAGGGCCTGGTTTCTTCTTCAGGTGGGCAGAAAGGGGCCAGGCACCCCAGCCCCCCACAACGAGGGCAAATCAGACAGAGGCAGGGTGCAGGCCGAATGTCCAGCCCCTCCCTGACAACGTCCACATCAGCATATTCACCTGGACGCTGTCCAGGGACGTTGGTGGCACCTCAGACTCCACGGCTCTCAAAGGGAGCCGGCCACACCGTCCTCCTCTACCAAAAAAGCTCCTACCATTCTCTCCGGAGCGGGTGCCTCTCCCAGCGGCAACCCAGGGCTCTCCGGACACTTCTCTGTCCAGCACCGTCTGCCCAGGAGTCTGCCTCCAGAAGCACGCACGTTCAGGGCCGACACCCAGCAGCACTGAGCACCTGATCCAGGAGCCCCCCAACCTCACCCTTGCTATGCGTTAGACATAGCCTGTCTGTTCCCACCAAAGCTCGTGCTGAAATCTGAGCTCCAAGGTGGCAGTGTTGGGAGGTGGGGCCTGGGAGACCCCCGTAGCCTGGGTTAGTTCCCTTGAGAGCGGGGGTTATAAAGCCAGGACACCGCTCAGGTTTTCCTCTTTCCACGTGTCCACTTCCCCTCTGACCTCCTCTGCCATGTCGTGAGGCTGCACAGAAGCTCTTCCCAGGAGCCGGGGCCATGCACTTGAACTGCTCACCCTGCAGAACCGAGCTAAATAGACCTCCTTACAAATTCCCCAGTCCCAGGTATTTTATAGCAACACAAAACTGACTCAGACACCCTCCAAGGGCTCCCGGTTTCCAAACCCTGGGTCTCAATGACTCACCACTCTGACACATACTCCTGGCAGTACCATTTCAAGTCTGGTTTTCCATATAGATACTTCTCTCAGCCTCACCTGCAGAGACTCCTCTCCATAACCCTATGCCTGCCCTGGCTAGTCCCCTGCCCTGCGTACTTGCTCCCCAAATCCCTGCCCTCCTCCCTCTCCTATCACCCAGTTTCATCACTGCCCTTTTCCTCCTGTGAAAGTTTTGGAACATGCTGTCCTTATTCCCCTTTGAGTCCCAAGTGCCTGGACATATGAGTGCTCAGGAATTAATAAAGTTTATAAACAGGACTCAAAATTGAAAACTAATCCTCTAAACTTCTACTTACATACACACACACAAAACATTACAGGCAAAAGTTAGAAGCTGGAGAATATTTTAACACACAGCCAGAGTCACTTCTCTGGGCAGCAGATATTTCATATCAACTGGAGATTCAGAGCTTGCTGCCTCCCACCACACCCAGCTGAGGGACAGCCCTGATCAGCCTAACCCAGTCAGAACCTGGTACTTCCCCTGGCCCCAGTGACTGGCTCAGGGACGGGCCCATTGGCAAGAAGAGCAGAAGGGTCTAGGGCTGGCTTACTGGAGTCCCTGACATAACCCCTCACCCTGCCTATAGATACTCAGAAATAGCCATCCCTTTCTGCCTCTTTATCACCACTAGACCAGGCTTACAAGAAATTCTTAAGGAAGGCTTATATCTGGAAGTAGAAAGATGATAAATGCCATCTTGAAAACATGCAAATCTATAAAACACACTGGTAGAGCCAATACACAAAGGAGAATGAGAAGGAAATCAAATCTTAACACTATAAAAAACCACACAATTATAAAAATAAATAATAAGAGAGCAAGTAAGGAACAAAAATATACAAAAAAAATAAACCAGGAAACAACCAATAAAATAACAGGCCTCACCTATCAGCCATAACCTTCAATGTAAATGCATTAAACTCCCCTCCATTTAAAAGACATAGACTGGCTGAATGGATTAAAAGATAAGACCCAATTACATGCTACCTACAAGAAACTCACCTTACCTGGAAAGACACACACAGACTGAAAGTGAAGGGATGGAAAAAGATATTCCATGCAAATGCAAACCAAAAGTGAGTAGGAGTAGCTATAAATATATAAGCAAAAGAAACTTCAAGTTAAAAACTGTAAAAAGAGACAAGGACATTACATAATAATAAAGGGATCAATTCAGGAAGAAAATATAACAATTGTAAATATATATGCACTAAACAGAAGAGCACTCAGATATATAAAGCAAATAAATTAGCTCTAAAGGGAGAGCTAGATCTCAGTATAATAATAGTTGGGGACTTCAACACCCCTCTCTCAGCATTGGGTAGATCATCTAGACAAAAAAAATCAACAGAGCAATACCAGATTGAAACTGCACCATAGACCAAATGGACGTAACACAACATTACACCCAACAGCTGCAGAATATAATTTTTTAATCAGCACATGGAACATTCTCTGGGATCGGCCATACAAAACAAGTCTCAAAAAAAATTTTTTTAATTGAAATCATATCAAGCATCTTATTTAACCACAATGGAATAAATCTAGACATCAATAACAAGAAGAACTTTTGAAACTATACAAATATATGTTAATTAAACAACATGCTCCTGAACAACCAATGGGTGAAGGAAGAACTTACAAACAAAATTTTTAAATTCCTTCCAACAAATTAAAATAGAAATACAACATACAAAAACTTATGGGATACAGAAAAAACAGTAGTAACAGGCAAGTTATAGCAATAAATGCCCACCTCAAAAAACTAGAAAGATTTCAAATAAACAATGTAACAATGCACCTTAAGGAACTAGAAAAGCAAGAACAAACCAAACCCAAATTTAGTAGGAGAAAAGAAGTAATAAAGGTCAGAGCAGAAATAAACAAAATTAAGACTAAAAAACAATGCAAAAGAACAACAAAACAGTAAGTTAGGTTTTTTTTTTTTGCAAAGATCAATTAAATCAATAAATCATCAGCTAGACTAAGAAACAAAGAGAGAAGACTCAAACAGAATCAGAAATGGATACCACAGAAATACAGAGGATCATTAAAGACTACTACAAACAACTATATACCAATAAATTAAAAAATCCAGAGGAAACAGATGAATTCCTGGACACATACAACTTACCAAGACTGAACCAAGAAGTAGCTGGTACTGACCAATAACAAGTGATGAGATTGAGTCAGTAATAAAAAGTCTTCCAACAAAGAAAAGTCCAGGACTGGATGGTTTTGCATTTGACCAAAACTTTAAAGAAGAATTAATATAAATTTTTCTCAAACAATTCAAAAAAATTGAAGTGGAAGGAATTCTCAACTCATTCTACCAGCCCAGCATAACCCTGATACAAAAACTAGGCAAGGACAAAACAAAAAAAGAAAACAACAGGTCAGTATCCCTGATGAACACAGATGCAGAAATCCTCGACAAAAGACAAGCAAACCCAATCCAACAGCACAGAAGAAAGATAATACAGCACAATCCAGTGTGGTTTATCCCAGGAATGCAAGGATGGTTCGACATATGGAAATCAGTAAATGTCATACATCACATCAGTAGAGTGAAACACAAAAACCATAGAGCATCTCAATAGATGCAGAAAAAGCCTTTGATAATATTGAACCTCACTTCATGGTAAAAACTCTTAATTAATTAGTTATAGACAGAAAGTACTTGAATGTAATAAAGCCTCTATATATAAACCCAGAACTATCATCTTATTGAACATGGAAAAGCTGAAAGATTTTCCATGAAAAACCAGAACAAGACAAGGATGTCCTCTCTCATCCCTTTAATGCACATAGTAGTGTACGTCCTAGCCAGAGAAATAGGCTAGAGAAACAAATAAAAGGTATCCAAATTGGAAAGGAGAAAGTCAAATTGTCCCTGTTTACAAAAAACATGATCTTTATATAGAGAAAAATATAAATATTCTACCAAAAAACTCAGAACGGATAAATTCAGTAAAGTTGCAGGATATAAAATTATTATACAAAAATCTGGCAACGTGCTATGGCTCACACCTCTAATCCTAGCACTCTGAGAAGCCAAGGTGGGAGGATCACTTGAGGTCAGGAGTTCAAGACCACCCTAAGCAAGAGTAAGACCTCACCTCTACAAAAAGAAAAAATGAGCAGGGCCTGGTGGTGCACACCTGTAGTGCCAGCTACTTGGGAGGCAGAGGCAGGAGGGAGGATCACTTGAGCTCAGGAGTTTGAGACCAGCCTGAGCAAGAGCCAGAGCCCGTCTCTACCAAAATTAGCAAAAATGATGCTGGATAGTGTCTGCCCATGTTGAGGGCAGATCTTCCCCACCTAGTCCCCTTAGGCTCACTCGATAATCTCTGGAAACACGCTCACTGACACATCCTAAAATTATGCATTACCAGTTCTCTAGGAACCCCTTAATCCAGGCACACTGACACCTAAGATACCCCCAGGACCAGGCAGCCAGGCGCCTCTGGGCAGACAGCACGGTGGCCTCCACTGGCCCCACAGACCCCCGCCCTGCCGGCTCCCAGGGCCGGGCCTGCCTGCGCCCCTCTCCTGCCGCCCCCAGAGCCAGTGTCTGCCAGCAGCAGGCAGCTCTGCCTCAGACACGTGTGCACCTCACACGCCTGCGCAGCACGTGTTTACAAACTACACGGGGTCCCGTGAACCTGCTTTGGTGCACGCAGCAAGTAAACGCCGGGCACCTGCTGTGCGCCAGGCACCGCGCGAGGACCCTGGGACAAAGCAGTGCACGGAGGAGCAGAGGTCTCCTAGAAAGCCACGCTGGGTGTGGCCAGGGCTCTGAGAGGAGAAGAGCCGGTGGGGGCGCACTGGCGCTGGGGAGGGCCGGCGGAAGCTTCCGATGGGCGGTCAGAGCGGCCTCCCCAGAGGGGCCAGCTGGGCAGAGGCCGAGGGAGGAGCGGCGGCTGTGCGGTCGCAACACACCGAGCGTGTCCAGGAAGGGCAGGGAGCCCGGTGGGCTCTGGGCCGCGGGGAGCAGGGCAGCAGGACCGGTGGGCAGCGTCTAGGAGGCCCTGTGGGCCCTGTACGGACTCCGCCTGCGCTCCGGAGTTGAACTGGTAGCGGAGGGGTCGGGGAGGGTTCGTGGTTTGACTCTGCTGTGCGAGTGTCAGAGGCAGGGCAGGAAGGAAATCGGGGGCCAGCAGGGGCCACTGCCGCCACCCCCGAGGACGGCAGATGTGGGCTGTGAAGGAAGGAGAGGGCCGGGGACAGGCTGGGGCTGGGCGGGGGCAGCGGGAAGGACCAGCCGGCCGGAGGGGAGCGGGCTCCGCACCTGGAAGGGCTGAAGGTTCACCCAGCGCCCAGGCCACGGGGCGGCGGGGTTCAGGCGCCAGGTTCAGGGTGGAAGGATGAACGGGGCTGCCAGTGCATGGGTGGCAGTTAAAACCACAGAAGTGGATGAGCCACCGAGAGAGACAGGGAGAGCAGCCCAGAGGGGAACCACAGTCTGAGGTCGTGGAAGCCAACGAAACTGAGGACGGACCCAGCCAGTCAGCAGGTGGGCGCACCTGACACCCTGCTCCGCCCGTCTCTCCACGGGCCTCCCTCCCTATTCCTCCCAAACCGCCAACACCTCCGACTCCCCATGGCACCTGCTGGACCCTCTAAGACCCCTCAGCTCAGCCGGACACTCCTCCTTCCCGAGGGCAAGCAGAGCCCTGTTTCTAGGAAACAAAACTGGAAGTTTAAAAAGCCACAGGCTCCTCCAGCAAAGGACCCAATAAAACTGTTCTTCTAAGGAAAGTGCTTCTCGGGGGAGTCTTAGCCACCTCGGACCCTGCCCTGCCTGGGCTGCCTGCTGGCCACGGCTCCCGTTTCCTGGAAAGGCGGCAGGACAGGCTGGCTGCCCACCACCGGGGGTCCCCATTGCCCCACTGGGTCCCCATCTTCCCCGGGGCCTCACCTGCCACGGGGGCCACAGGAGGAGGTAGTCTGTGTCCGCACTGGCTGCAGAACTTGGGGGCTTCCTCTTTGCAGACATGCTGGCACGAAGGACACTCCATGCCTCCGGCGGGGGCTGCTGGCAACCGCGTCTGCCCAGCTGCAGATCTGGAAGCAAGAGCAGGAGTCTGAGGCGGCCCCTTATATACCTCGCCTGCTGCCACATGACCAGGCTCCATTTCGGTTTCACTTTCTGGGAAAGTGAAATTGCAGTGGCCCAGAAGGTCCCCTGGTCAATGGAAACCCAGCACATTCCCTGCAGCCAGTAGCCCTGTCACTTCTCCATCCCAAGCTCCTCCCTCACCTGCCTGCCCACCCCCTGCAGCCCACGCCCCGCCCCCAGTCTGAGACTGTCCCTGGGAAGAGTCATGGGTCACTTCCCTGGCCGAGGGGAGGAGGGGGCCTCCAGACAGGTAAGGCGTTGGAGGCGTGCCCAGAGCAAGGCGGTGGCCTCCTCGTCCCCCCCACAGGTGAGGATCAAGACGTGAACAGCTCTCACAGCTCACGGGGCCACCGGTGAAGCCCCCGTGCTTGGCGCTGCCCTCTGCCCTCAGAGCAGCCTCTGTGGGGGCGGCATCAAACCAGGGCGGGGGGGGGGGGGGCTCAGCTAAGCCGGGTCAAGGCCGGGACTCGGGCTGGGCACTCGGCCTCCAGGGCTCCTACTGTGTGCAGGCCGAGGGTGCAGACAGCTCATGGCCACCGCCTCTCTCCACGGCAAGACTCCCAAGGGCCTGCCCCACCCACCGCCCTGTCTGAGGCCCGGGACCCACAACTGCAGGAGCAGTGGCCAGAGCCGGCGGTCTCAGCACACCGTGAGCTCCTGCCTGCAGATCCCGGGACGGGACGAGGTGCGTAGGCAGAGAGGAGAGGCCGGCCAGAGACGCCAGGGGCCCCAGCAGTTCTGCGGAGAGGGGCAGGAGATTCCCTGAGACTGCATCTGCGTGACAAGACACCTTCTACCCAGAGGCCACCCCCCCAGGCCCCTGCCCGAGGCTGTGAAAACTGCCATCACCTGTCCCTTCCTGCGTCAGGCTCCCGTTTGCACACAATAAATTTGGAGGCCTCTACTCCCGACATCTGTCTACTGTCATTTTATTCCAGAGACTCAAGTTCTCTCTCCTTCAGAGAGTAGAGGGAGAGCTTAAAACTCCCTACACCTGCCCCAGCCAGGCCCCGGCCCCCATGCCGCCCCTCCCCCTCTCTACACATCCCCTGAAGCACCACCACTGCTGCACTTCCCGGCAGACACGGAAACTCAGAAGAGGCTCAGGAAATCCCTCCCCACAAAGCATCCTGTTGCTCCCCACCTGCACAAGGAGCCTAGAGACAGAGGCGAGTGCCCCAGGCTCCCAACTCTTCCCCCAGCTGGCTGACACTTCCGGCTCTCTTCCCCGGGCACTGCTTCAAACCCCATCCCCCAACCCCCACGGAAGACGGAGGAGCGGGGCGGGGAGGCCACTTTGCACTTGCTGGTCCTCCCTCCCCACCTCCTGCGGGTGCCTCTTGCTCCGTTGGGCGGTGCCTTCCTCTGAGAACTCACGGTGAGGAAAGACGCGGTGTCTTTTGCAGCTGCGCTTTTCAGGTGCTGCAATTGGTGAAGGGAAGATTCTGGACGGAGCCGCGGGCGCCAGGTGTGGCCGTCCCTGTCCAGGTCTGGGTCCGCCCAGCTCCTCGGCCCGTGCTGGGGCTCATCCGGGGCACCTTGCGGTTGCGGAGCTGTCTCTGGCCTCCCGGGAGTGCCTTGCGCGGGGACCCGCCCCCCCCCCAGGGGAATCCGAAACCTGGAGCGGCCGCTGCAGGGAAGAGGCGGGAGGGCGGCGGCGGACACAGGTGCATCCAGACGGTCGCAGGCGCCAGGCACCCGGCCCGCGGGCCCCTGCACCCGCCTGGGGGACCAGGCAGCGGGACCCGCGCATGCACTGGAAGCAGCATCATGAGCCCAGGGGACAGTGCCCTGCGGGCCGCACCCCCGGAACCCGCACCCAGGACCCCGGCCCCAGCCCGCTTCCCGCCCGCTTCCTGCGCGCTCTGTGGCTCCCCAGGTCTCCCGAGCGCGCAGCACCTCCGACAGTGTCCAAGCCGCGCATGCGAGGCGGTTCACTCGGCCCGCTCGAGGCCACTCGGAGCGCCGCGGAGGTCACCAGCCCATCGCTGGGGGACTGTGCGGACCGGACCGAGTGGCCGCCGCGGCCCAGGGCGGTGGGCACTTCGCAGCGCCGCGCCGGGTGCTCAGACACCGGCCTTGGAGAGGCCACCTCCGCCCAGGGCCCGTCCCGCCTCCCCTCTGTGCCTCAGTTTCCTCATCTGTGAGGCTCACAGTGCCGCTTCCCAGTGCCCTTGGACGGTTAATAATAAGGGAATGGCGGACGCCTCGGTGCGTACCGTCCCAGCTGACCCCACCCTCCTCTCCCCTCCCAGCTCTGCTGAGAACGAACCCTTGGAGGGAGCTGGGCCTCTGAGCTCCTCACCGCTGACTTGCAAAGCCCGGGCTCCGCCACCCAGTTCTCTGACCCTCTCCTTCCTCACCCTCTACTCGCACTGTCCTTCCCTCTGGGCGGGGTGCTCCCTGCTCTGTCCTTCTTGGGGTGCCCCTCCTGCAGCGCCCGGGGCTGTTGAAAGGGGTTGCAGATCTGCATCAGATTGGTGCTGACTGATTAACACTGTGGTGCTCGAAGGGCGGTGGTCTTCACCAGGGATCGGGGTTGGGGGGTAGTCCCACATCTGAGGGATGGGAGAGCAGTGTGGAGGGGAAGGGCATGCCTCTAATGCTTGCTAGGGAGAGGCAAAGATATAAAATGTAACCAAAATGTTAAAAAAAAAAATTTATCAGGTGTCGGGCAGGTGGAGGGGAGCGGGGGGTGGGTATTTACACACGTGGGGGGATGGCCAGGCTTGAAGCTCTGACTCAAGGGGGAGGGGAGGCAAGGGCAATGTACATAACCTTAACGTTTGCACCCCCATAATATGCTGAAATAAAGAAAGAAGAAGAAAGGGGGGGCTGCAGAGCGCGGCAGGTGCAGTCAGGAACTGCTGCAGCCCCTTCCTTTCTGGTTGGCGGCAGGTGGTGACAAACAGCGCCAGGACGCCAAAGTCCAGGAGTCGGTTTCCTGCCCTCCAGGGAGAAGGGGTTGTCACAGAGACGTGGCTCTGTCCCCGGGAGTGGTCGGGGCTGTGGCTCCTTCTCCTGCTGTTCACTCAGGCACTCGGTGAAAGCAGATTCTCAGAAAGCCACTAGGCACGGGAGAGCCACGTCTCTGTCCCGAGCGTCCAGCCTTTCGGAAGTTGCGCACAGCAGAGCTCCTGCAGGTGCCTGTGAGCGAGAGGACTCACGGCATTATTCTTCTGACCGTTACCGGGGAATGTGGGATTAGGTCTTTTCCTGCCATCAAATATTTTTGCAAGCCACCCTTTACGAGGCAGACGGAGGGCGTGGAGGCAGGATCTCC